AAAGATGATCTGCCATGAGGTTGAAAGCACTCAGAACATGATATGCAATTAAAAGAATGTGTTGTGCATGGGCCCAATATAGGAGATCAAATGTATGAAAACAGAGGGATCTAGACCAGGTGCCACCTTGGTAGTTGATATAAGCCACCACCATTGAATTGTTGGAATGGATCATTACCAGACGATGTCTGGCAATGGGAAGAAAGTGATCCAAAGCCCCAATAAATGGCTAGGAGCTCTAAGACATTGAAATATAGAGACCATTTGTTGACATACCAATGACCCTGGTGATCGACCCATGTACCCCAGCTCTGAAGGGATGTGTTTGCAAACAGATGTAAATCCACACAAGGAGGAGGAAGCAGGACACCTGCCAATGTGTGAGTCTTGTTCAAAGAATATCGTCTACAAGGGAAGGAGGAAGTGTTATGGGAGCATCCAAGGGACCCTGAGCAGGGTTCCACTGATTGTGCAAAGCTCACTGAGGGGAGCACACGTGTGCATTACTGAAGGGGATTAGCAGTGTCATAGAAAACCACATCCCAAAAAATAACAGATCCTCACGTGCAGAAAGTGAGGAATTAGATACAGTATGCCCAATTGAGGTGAGTGTTGAAAAAAGACACTCAAATGCACAAGGTATTGGGTATGATGCAGGAAGGACTTCTTTAATTTGATCAACGAGTTTCAAGAAGGAGCTGACCGGCTGACTCCTGTTCGGAATGGGCCAGAAGTAACCAGTCGTCCATTTAAAAATTGAAACACAGCCCCAGGGCATGACGATGAAGAGCAAAAGCTCTCACCACCAGAAAATATAAGGAGCAAATACCAGCCAGAAGGGTAGGGTGCAAAATTGGTACACCAACCGTCAATGGATGAACCAAAGATAAGGACGAGATCATTCTGAGATGAGAATATGCAGATAAGCATTGGAGACTTCATCTTGGTCATCCAGAGATCCAGAGAAAATACCCAACAAAGAGAGAAGCAGGACTCCAAGGTGAAATGATTGAGGTGGGGCAAATCAATGACAGGCCTCCAGGCCCCAGTTTTTTTAGAGTAAAACCCCAGGGAGTGATGTAGAACGGGTTTAATAGCCTGGTGAGTGAGGAGGTCCTGTACTGCATCTGATAGACACTTACGAGTTATGGAATCCTGAGGAGAAGGGAAGGAAACAGGTACCTGAGACAAGAAATGGAATGTCCCTTCCCATTCCCAGCCCTTACCTGTCTCTCCTTCTTGCAGTACCACAGCTCGTCATTTTTCTCGACGATGCATGATATGCTATCACCAGTTCCAGTGACTACCTGGTGAGTTTCAGCCCAGTGGGAGCTCAATTTGCAAACTTCTTTCATTGATGGCATCCTTTCATCACCAATATTTGGGTTCTTCAGGTTTTATCAGAGAGCCTTATGGGATACTGGAATCAGCACCACACTTGGCTCTGACTGAGATAAATGGACTACCAGATGGAAAAGGGTAGATTGTTGCTGGACAGATGCCACTAAAAACTACAAAGACTCTGGGACTGTATCAAAGACAAAATGTCTTAGAAACAGAGCTATATGCAAATCCTGGAGATAAGGAGCAGGTAAACGTGTTCTCGATAAAACAGCATCATGACCTAAGAGGTCCCAACAACAGATAAACTGCATTTAAAAAGCCAGAGCTGAAGAGGATTTCCCCAGAAAATTCCTGAGGATTTCTGTGAAGAGCCTCAAACAAGAGATGGATTGTGAAAAGATATCACAAAAGAGTTGTGAGGGTAAGACAGAGGAGGTAAAATTTGGCATGGGTGAGACTAACGGGAGATTGATCCAAATAACGTTCATTCTCCCTGCAAATAAACGGAGACAAATCTCTCAATGTGTCACCAGCACCTGAAGCATGTGGTAAAGCGGCTGTCAAATGTGAGATACCTGAAGTGGTGACAGTAGCTTCAGAATTCATGTTGTATCAGTCGACAAAAGCGCTTGAAGTACGAAATAAATGAGACTTGAACAAGGGTAATTGAACCTGAATACTTTAAAAAAAACTGAGTAGAACTAATACAATCTCAAACACTAATGAAAACAAAAAAAGAAAGACGTCTGAGTGCAAGCGCTGCCAAACGAGAAGTGATAGTTCGGTAGAGGTGCATAGAGGGAGTTACATGCGTCACATGAGTGTACTATTCTCCTATTGGTGAAGAAGTGATACATGATGATTTGAATGAGACACACATTGGAATCATGGGGGGGGGGGGGGTGGCAGAAGGCTTGTGGCATGCATAATAAAAAAAGTTCACAAATTGAGGGCAGTAATGAATGAGAATAGCTAATCTTGTGAGAAGAGGGAAGTATTGCTTTTGGGGAGCTATATTTTCAATGTTATAATTTAGTTGTTTGCTAGAGAGAGAGAGCTGATAATCATGATAATGTAACAGCCCAGAAACTTTTTCTAATATCTAGAGAGAAGGGTAGATTATATATAAATACAAGTAATCAGTTAATGAGTATTCAATGAGTTTTAGAAGTTCAGTGTCAGAAAAAATGTTCATTGTACGAAATAGAATTTATCAGGTCTACTCAGTTATTATTCAAACAATCAACAAGGAAATTTTGTGAGTTTATTTCTAAGTAAGTTGTACTTACTATTAATGAAAGACATTTCTGTTAAACATTATTTGTATATTAAACTCCCAGTAGTTACATTGGTATATGTTTTAAAAGTTTTAATTTGAATTTAGGCTTACAGGTGAAAGTGTTGTAGCAAACATTAAAGATGAAATGAATTATTTTTCCTATTGTGATGTGGACTGGATTGTGCATAATTTTTATTAAATAATTCAACAACAAACCTGTCCAATGACAGAATATGCTAAAACAAACAGATTGGTAAATTGATATATTTATAGCTGCATAAATGTATGTTTTCAGTTTTTTCACTATTAAACTATTTTACATAGATGAAATAAATTGTAATTGTATTCCATACATTTTTCTATTTTTTATGAAGGAGTGGGTGTGCAAAAGTACACACTTAATATACATTTTCAACACTGAAGTCATTATATAACATGTACATGTATAAAAATAATTTT